TTCTCCACTACATTCATTAAAACTATAAGTGAAGACAAATTATTTGCAAGTTCTTCATTGCTGAAGCAACCATTTCCCTGCTCTATTTCCTCTCCTGTCTGAGAGAAGACAAATAACTAGATCTATGTCCAGGTTCATGTTTTCATAAAAACAACCAAGCTTGGTAAACTTGCACTGTTTGATGCCTCAAACATTTTCAGAAACAGACCCAAAGCAAAACAACAACAAAAAAAAAGCAGATTAAAACGTAAATTTTTAAGGTAATTAACAATGTATCTTTCTCCATGTCTTAGGCCAGTTTGGAGCTCTGCTGGGCATGTGGGGACGCTATCACAGATCACATAATCCGCGCACTCGAGCGAGCATACCATCTTTCTTGTTTCACCTGCACAACATGTAAGAGGCAAATTGGAGAGCAAGCTTTTGCCCAGGGAGAAGTTGGAGAAGTTTACTGCCTTCAAGACTATTACAGGTATGAAAGGGAAAAAACTATTTGAAGGGTTTAGGTAAAGGATCAATATATACAGTTGTGTTCCACTTGATTTGACATGTTATTACAATGCTGTTGTCGCATTATAAACCATCCCTTTGTCTACAAGTGTAATAAATTTTTCTTTTTCATCTAACATTGTAAAGAAAATACGCTCCAAAGTGTAGTGCCTGTAACCAGCTTATCATTCCACAAGAAGATGGTACCGACAGCTATACAGTTGAATGTCTGGGGCGTTCCTACCATGAGAACTGCTACAGATGTCAGGTTGGTGTTTTGTGTGTCATCATTTCCCTAGGGATTAATAAAGTATTCGGATTCTGAAACAACATACAGAGACAGATATTATTTCAGTACCAGGAATAAGTTTTTTCATATTGTGTGCAGGTCTGCGCCATCCAACTGTCTCCTGAACCGAACGAGCATGGCTGTTATCCTTTAGACGGGAAGATGCTTTGCAAGCCCTGTCACCTGAACCTGGCTTCTGGTCAGCACTAATCCCACGTGAACAGCAAGCAAGACAAGAAAAAACTGAACAAAGAGATGGGAGACTGCGCATGTGCCTTTAGAATGAATGTGCAAATGCCTTAAATGCTTCCTTCACTAGAGAAAAGCTATATTTTTACAGTATATCATGCTTTCTGAAGATTACCTTCTTCTTTTTCATCATTTTGCACTTAATACAATCTACAAAAGCAACAATTATATTCCTGCAACTCACTTTACAAAAAATGTACGAGAATAAATGGAACCCCAGTCAGTATCCTGTTTCTCGGTCATTATACAAACATATAAATAATCAACTTTAACTTGAAAAAAGGATAGAAAAGTAATCTAATATATTTTATCTCTATTCGCCTTCAAACTGCATCTACATCATCAAACCAAGCAGACAAACCACTAACGAGTACGAAGTAATTGTCAAGCAGACTGTTTTTAACATTGTCTTCTGCCTTAATAAAACAAAGTTATCCGGCATAGTATCAGAGTCTCAATCGGATTCCAGGGAAATTGTTTTATTTATAGTCACTATCTCAAAAAAAAAAACTTGCTGTAATTCATATCTCGTACACATGTATTAAATTGTTTTATGAAAAACATGTTTCTCTTTATCACTTCACTTTCTTCATTATTTATGAAGAAAATAAGGGGCTACAATATGTTGCAGGTATCAACAACAGCTCAAAATAGCGCAAAATAACAACAACAGTTGCCTCAATGTGCTTTTTATTGTAAGATAATGCCCGTACTATATTAGAGAGAAAAGCCTAACAATCAGATGTGATGGTGACGGGGGGAAGGAAAAACACCCTTTTAACAGGAAGAAACTTCCAGCAGAAACAGGCTCAGAGAGGGCAGCCATCTGCCACAAGCGGCTGGAAAATAGACCTCAAGGATCTCTTAAGTTTTAAGGCTAGAGAAACCTGTAAGAACCCTTAACTAGGTGCAATATTTTTATACAGTGTTTACCTTTACTGTTTCACAAAAGGTTAAAAATGGAACTTCCACAATTTAGACTTTTTGAATGCAGGATATTCTATTAAAGCAGTTTAGCAGGAGCAAAGCAAAATATGAATCAAATAATAATAATCAAATCACTTGAATTATACTACTTATACTTCTAATTAATGTACTCTGAGCTAATGCTGATTTCTAATATTGATCTTGGGAGGAATGAGAGAGGAGAATGGGCACACTCTGGCCACTGGCACACTTGCCACAAGCAGTCCTCCATACAAAGTCTTCCAATTCATTTGAATCAAATGAAATTTGAAGTACAGCTGAACTTGGCTTATAGAGACAAATAAACAGTCATACTACAGTCATACAACAAAAGAATAAAAAGAATATGTTCTACTATCATAAATAAAGAATAGCAGCTTTAACAGTGGTACAGGTACGTGGAGGAATAGACAGACATGTAAATTAGAGGTATTTTAGCTGTTGCACTTTGCACTTTAGGGGGATATTCCATTTAATGTGGACATGGATCAGCAATGTGCAGTGACTACTTAGAGTTTATTGTGAGTACCTCCTTCCAGAAGGCTTGCTCCGTGAGTCCCATGCTGTTGTTTCTCTCTCTCTTTTGGACTTTTCACCCACATAATTTAAGGCAAAGTTAAAAATCACATCACATGTGAATATACTTTTTATCTTTATGAATGTGTTTGTCAATCACAGCATACTTATATAATTTATAATAATAATTTTTTATGCTCCCAGAATCTAGGTGAAATAGTCAGGCATCAAAATCATGTCATTACTCAAACCATATTTTCTTACTCATCATATAGATTAGATTTATTCTTGATTAGAATTTGATTAGAATTAAGGATGATTAACCATTTAACTCCGTTTTAACATTCTGTATCATTTTTCCCATAAAAAGGCTGGATGTTAAGTCCTTTTAGTCCACTTTTGGACAGAGATGAGCAAGGGGATCGCAATCTGTTTGACACCAGAGCATACCTCCACCTCTCCAGGCTCTCTGCCGCTTGCTACCTGCTCTCACTACGGATCACAATGTTGTCTGCAAACATCATAGTCCACTGAGACTCCTACCAAACCTCTCCATTACCACAGCAAACCAGAAGAGCAGACCCCTGATGTAATCCCAGCCCCACTTTGAACCCATCTGTCACTCCTACAGCACACTGTCCCGCTGTCTTCATACATGTCCAGGACCATCCTCGCATATTCCTCTGCCAGTCCTGACTTCCTCATGCAGTATTTCCTCTGGGCCTTTTACGGTCAAAACAGTAGTTTTATTACGATAAGATATAATAGATTAATTTATTTTTAGCGTTGCCCTTGTTTTCACTAAACATTCAAATAATAACTGGAAAAACACTGACTGCGTGGGACTCACAAGGCGTTGCATTGTAAAGCAGACTGTATTTTTTCACTGCCTTTATCTGTCGGTTTGGCAGAGCGATAGAGCGCTGCAAAGAATGAAACTGGTGATTTTCTATTTCACATAGTAGTTATTACAGAATTCATTTAACTTTAATTCAACAAGTCAGCAACTGTTACAAATTTTTAAATAAACGCGTTAAAGTGATTAAAAATTCTACTTTTCGCTGTTTTAATTAATCTTTTCCACGGCCTGATCCCCCTGGGAGAAAATCGCCCGCTGCCTGCCGTCTGCTTCACAGGGATCGCGGGGACGCGCGTCTCGCAACCAAAATCATCCAGAGCGAGGTTGATGCGCGTCCACGCAAGACAGATCGAGGACGCAGCAGCTAAAGCTAAACGGTTAGCAGGGCCATCGGGCCCGGGTCGTTCATTTTGTTCAGGCGGACCTCCGACCGGCAGGGATTAGAAACGTGCGAGATCATATGTGTGTGGAGGGGGAAAGAGTAGCGCAAGATGGTTCGGGAAACCAGACACCTCTGGGTGGGAAATTTACCCGAACACGTTCGAGAGGAGAAAATCGTGGAGCATTTTAAACGGTAGGTTACGTGTTTTCCAAACAGCGCGCGCTAGCTGTCTCACTAACATTACGAAGGGTAGGCGGCTGCTATCAATGCTAACACAGCTAATGTTAGCATTTTACGTTTTACTAGTATTGCAGTTTCTCGTGTGCTGAATGCACATTATTGGCAGTGTGGTGATGGAAATTGAAGTCATATATGTGAAGCAGAGCCGCTCGGGCCTCAAGGTGAACGATTTATAACATTCCTCGAACTTTTGTGAACGCCAAGGAGCAATTAGCTGGATTCGCTAGCCACCAAGCTTCCACCCAACCAACCATTTTGTGGGAAGTCGAGACGTTTTCACGATGTGTACAAGCCTAACGGCAGCTATCGTTAACCACAGAGTAGCATTAAATGCATTCGGTTAGTTAGCCACTGGAAAAACCTCACACTCTGTTGTTTATCTGGTCGTCAGAGTATTATATACCGATTGCTAATCGAAGGAAATTTACGAGAGCTGCCTCACGCCCGGTCCCATAAGTGTAGCTGCTTAAACTAAGCTAAGTTAGTCAGTGATGTTGGGGTTAATTTGTGAAATTGTAAACCGCAAACCAGGTTTTGCTACCCTTTAGTGCTTAAATGTAAAACAAACCAACACCACAAACTGCCTTCCGGGATTCATAAGAGTTATTTGCAGCTTTGTAGCTAACACTAGGTATCTAATCTCTTGTTACGCGGCGTAAACACTACTTAAGTAGTTGGAAAACAAACATTCCTGCTAATGGGATTTATAGCTGCACACCCCTGGTAGTGGTCTGCTGTTTAAACATGGTGCGTTCTTTTACATATCCTACGTCCTATAGAAATGTCATCAATACTGCTTAGCACTTCCTCTTTATCCAAGTATTCCCAAATGTGATCATTCAGTATAATCAATTGCTAGCACTTTTAAGTTCAGAGAGTTCACCTCTTGATTTGTGGTCTTTGGTTCGTTTTCATAAAGTCCTGCCTTTAAAGTCAGTGCCATTTGCAAGCTTGCTGATTAAAAGCTGGCACATTCTATATTCTTGGCCGGTGTATATGTAATTTCCTCTTTGTCTCCATTTCAGGTATGGCCGTGTGGAGAGTGTTAAAGTTCTGCGAAAGCGCGGTTCAGAGGGGGGTGTTGCAGCCTTTGTGGATTTTGTGGATATCAAAAGTGCACAGAAGGCTCACAATGCTGTCAACAAGATGGGGGACAGAGACCTTCGGACTGACTACAATGAACCCGGGTCAGTCCCAAGTGCTGTTCGGGGCCTGGAAGACAGCTCTCCCTCGAGCAGTCGAGATGTTACAGGATTCTCTAGGGGAACGGTTGGTCCAGTGTTTGGGCCACCTGTGTCCCTTCACTCCAGAGAGGGACGTTATGAACGGAGAATAGATGGGTAAGTGGACACGGCGTCCCCTTCGAATCCAGGGAAATCTAGGTATCACACAGGTGTTAAACCTAAACACATAGTGGGGGGTATCCGTAAGGGATTGATGCCTCAAGGGGTTACACAAAGGTAATCTAGGGATCGTTCCACTTTTCATCCTATTTGACTTGCCTTGCCCATTGGATCTAAGTAAATTAACTACATATTATCATTTGGTAAGGTAACTATATATTGAGAGTTTGACATCTGATGTGGATATTACATCTGTGTGGAATATCCTGGTGAGTTGTGGATTTATTACATTTTGTGGGAGTCTACCTTGGGGAGCTTGCGGATATTTTTTATAATCAACATGGAATCTATCTTTAATTTAAAAAAAATATATATCTGGAATCACGTGAAGCTGGAAGTACATCACTGTTATGATGGATACACGTTTTTTGGAAGTATCTATATAGGTATACACTCACTTGAAGAAATCTTCCATCGTGGGATATCATTTTTTTTTCCTCAAGGCAACGACTAATTGCTGGACTGTTCATTATTTTTCCTTTTTCTTTTTTTGCGCTTTGCACTTGTGGATACAGCCTGTTCTGGATTTAACTTTTGACCGAGTGGATGGAAGAAACCTTACAGTCATCACACATTAGAAGAAAGACTGGTGTAGTTCCAAGGTATCACTGTCATGTTAGGATGAGATTAACTTAATCAAAAACAGGTTTTGTTCCGCATATGGACGCTGCACCGAGAAGATTTCACAAGAACACAAAGGATCCAACCACCTGGCCACCAACAACGTTTGTGGAGCTATTCTTGCTTTTGCCATGAAGACATGAAGAGTGGATAGTTGGGATGTAACCCCCTGGATGTACGCAATATGATACCCTGTGCTGGATGTACTGATGTGGATAGGTGTAGCTGCCATTCATTTGGATTACTCAAGTATGGATGTAGCAGTTTGAGACCTCAATCAGGAAAAAGCACTCCGAGTATCTTAGAGGAAGCTGAAGACATTTTTTAAGTAACATGACACTAAACAAAGATGACATCCACTGATTATGGAGTTGTATCCGGCCCACCAGTCCAGGAGGATATTATTTACTCTGATACTTGTCTGGAGTCTACTAACCTGCGTGATGTTAAATAACTTAACATTAACCCATGGAATATTTTTTTTCCCCTGCCACTATAAAACTTTTTAAAAAATTACCGCGAAACGAGACCGATCCCATTGGATGTATTTTTTTCTCTCAGGCTCCAACTTACTGA